GGGATCTGATGAAATAATGTTGTTCCTAGGTGTTTGTGATGACAATACTCCACATTGTTTATCTGTGACCCTTTTGAGGTCTAAGTTCAATGCATTTAAGGTCACCAATTGTTTCAGAATTCTTGGTTTCTTGGAAGCTTTTGGGCTTATAGTATTGTTCACTGGGATACCACTTGTAATGACTTATTCCTTCTCTATACTTTTAAACAGTAATGACTATCATGCCGTAATGAGCTGTACTGGTAATGATGAATTCAAGACAATAACATTATTCAGCTTATGTGGGTAATTGATTTGATTTGTATTCTTTTTAGGGATGAGACGGGATGTTAATGTATTGATCTATCTCGATGTAAGAAAAGCTCTAGAAGGTATGGTTTTGCAAACCTTTTATTCATCAAAGTTCAAAATTTTCTTTTAAGTTTGCTATGAGCCCAGCATCTTTTATTCTTTATCAAGGAGGACTTCTTATGCCAGTTTTGTTTCTTATGATTTTTTGTTGCAGAGGGAATGAAGTTTTACATTTCAGAGAACAAGGTAATCTTGACTGAAGGTTTTGATGGTGTTGTGCCAGTCAAGTACTTTGAGAAAATAGAATCGTGGCCTGATAGAAAGCCGATACTTTTCTGAACCTGCATCAGTTCGGGTGCAATCATTCCATTTCTTCTCTTCCTCTTTCTTTATTTTTTGATGAAGAAGGATCTCCTTTTCCTTTTTGATTCATTGGCTGGTCGTCTCAGCTTAATGAGATGTAACAGTTCTCCTTTTTGTAACACACGTTAAGCTGGTCATAGTCGTAGTTAGCAATCAACGGAAATGAGACTGGCGCTTTTGATTTTCAGCTTGAATTGATGTTGTATATTTATATCTACATTCCTAGAGGAATTCTTTTCCTGTGTATAATGAAAGTACTATGGTCTTGCAAGTCCATATTTGTCATTGCCTTGATTTTTGCCAATACTGTGCCTAAAAGCATTTTGCAATTCTAATTCTGCGTTAAACTTGGGTTCAAAATTATGTCTTAAATCCTCTGCAGGCTACTAAAAATTAACTGAAGAAAAACTTTGAAAACTAATTTATAGGAGCTTCTCTGTTAAAGAAAAAACTCCTCCAAACATTGGCGTATGCCACCAATTGCGGCGAGCACACGGTAGTCTTTAGTAAAAGGCGAAAGAATAGTTCGCTCTGTGCCCACCGCGTGGCTGCGTGGTTTCGAATGTCCCATTTCTTCTATTTTTATAGCTGCTCTCATTCTGATGCTTTTGCTTCTTTTTCTATGTGGGATTTTTGAGAAACAAAAAAAAGGCTTTCCCATTTTCATAGATTGCCCTCCAACAAATTAAAAGCTTCTCAACAAAATATGGCTGAGAAAAAAAAAAAAA